TGTCATCAAGGAAGGCCTTGTTAAAAAGGGTGATGAGTGATAATCTCCCTGATGGAAGGAGTTTAGAGTGTACTCATCACACCCATGATATGGAAAAATGGCCTTAGGTTAGAATAAAAGTGATTTATGGGCAGTCACCTGTGGACTAAGACCTCCTAAACTGTGAGCCCCCAAACAAACTTTTCCTCTTCTAAAATTGTCCTTGTTGGGTCTTTTGGTTACAACAGAGAAAAAGCTGGCTAAAATCACATTCAAACCATAGCAATTGGGTTCACACAGGAAGGCTGCCTGTGGGGATAGAGGCCCYGAAAGAGATTGGAGAATCAGAGACAAGAAGGTCTGGTGTACAGGCAAGCATGGGTGGATCACAAACGAGGAAGATGTTTGTATCCCCTGTTGAGCTTACTAGTAAGTGCCTACCACAGAAGATGCACCTACCAATCAGACAAAATCACTAGGCTGGATAATGCTTTTCCCAGTTTTTGTGATGGTCTCCTCCCCCACTGCTGTTGGTTGGGTACTCAAATAAAGATGACACGGTGAGAGAGATGGAGGGAACGCMAGAGCCTATCAGCATAGACAACTGCCTGCCAAAATGAAAATAGTTGCTGCCACCTTTGGAGGTTCAATCTGCTGGACATGAAGACCAGTGCTAAATTCTCCTCCTTAAGAACACCAGTAGGCTATTTGGTAATCTGTAGACTGCATGGAGTCCCCTTTGTCTTGGAAAGACCAGGAGTTTGCTTTGTTGTGGATATGGAGTTGCCTTTCCTATCTGCAGGTGTCAAGAGCGTCACTCTCTGCAGGCTTAAAGATTGCCTGATTCAAAGACAAGAATCTCACAGGACACAGCAGCGCACCAGACAGCACTCTTTTGGCATAGGAGTTGGTGAGGAGTGAGCCTATGAGCATGTCTGGTCATCCACCTCACCAAACAGAAGCTCCTAGATGGATGACTAGCCAGCTAAGCGAGTGGCAGAAGTGGCAGTGTGGAGGTGACACACTGTGCTGATGGCATTCTCCAGGACATGATGSTATACGCCTTGAATCAGATAGGATTCTAGTGTGTGTCCCCAAAAGAAAGGACACATGGATCTGGAAAGAACGTGTAGAAGTACAAACAGCTTCCCTGGACATCATTCCAGTGACTCACTGGGCTTTCCCGTTCCCACAACTCTGGACTCCACAGAGTGAGAGGTCCTGGTTCCCCAGAGGGATACACTTGCCCAGAGACGCAGCCAAGATCCTATTGGACTACAAGTGATGGCTACTGGGCCTCCTAATGGAAAGGAGGGCCCAGTCCTTGACCTAACCACCTCCATTTTGTCCCTCTGACTCCATTTGCTTTGTGGACTTTTTCCCTTCTGAGCCACTCTCTCTCCGGCAGTTACTTCGCATTCCAGGAACAACAATTCTGATAGATAAGGATCTTTGTGACAAAGGATCAAAACTACCCCCAGCAATGGAAGCCTTGGCAGCCTGGAAGAACAGATTGCTCCATGATATAGCCCCCATAAGCAGGAGCAATCCTCTCACTAAGAGAACCCAATCACCCCTTCAAGCCATGGTGGCTGTCCAGGAGCTTCTCAGAACCAGTCCTGAGATAACGATCCACTCTACCTGACCAAGATTACCCTCTCGGCCTGCTGTGCAATGCATGCCCCCGAGCCATGCTTTTGTTCTTTTTTTCTGTTAAACCTCAAAGTCCTGGTCAGCCCCTGGAAGAGACTTCTTAGGTCACCTCTCCCCCTCCCCCATGCCCCCTCTGATCAGCGCTCCTTTCCACTCTTTGCTATGGTGTGGCTTGGGTTGGTGTTTTGGAGTGGGTGGCTCAGCCTGGTTTTACCACCCATGGAACTGGGGTCCTTTCCCTAAAAACTCCAGTGACTGGGATTAACGGGTAAGAAAAGGAATGGCCATTTTATGAGAGGTGATTGATGCTGGTCAGCAAAGGAAGTAGAACTGCTGTGATGCGATGGGCCTGGTGGAATAYGTGTGGTACTCCCGTGGCCTATTTGGGTTATGGGTTATTTCTTTTTTCATTTGGCACTAGGGATTGAATCCAGGRGCACTTGACCACTGAGCCCCATCCACAGCCATTTTGTATTTTATTTAGAGACAGGGGCTCACTGAGTGGCTAGTGCCTCATTTTTGCTGGRGCTGGCTTTGAACTCGCTATTCTCCTGTCTCAGCCTCCTGAACCGCTAGGATTACAGGCGTGTACCGCCTCACCCAGCTGGGTTATTTTTTGGTCCTCCTTTTCTTAACAGTGGCTGTTGATGGACAGGACARGAGTAGCAACCCTGGCTGGAGAATGTGCTCACATTGCATAGGAATGAGGATTGAGACACCTGATCTGGTAAGCTACTGAGATTTGCTGAGTGGTAGCTCAGGGTGAGGGGAATTGATGAGGAAATGATGAGGACCAGTCGTGGCCTTGAGACCCCCTGTGGTGACATGCACCATAGTTCATTCCATTAACTGTCCTCTTCTAAGTTTTCTAGTGAAAAGTAAAGCTCTGAAAGAGCTGTTCCCTAAATACAAATGGAGAAGGAAAGCCATGTGGTACAAAGGATGGACTATTGCTGTTGCAGTGTGTCGCTCAGGTTGCCCTTTAACCCAGGGTTTGCAGCCCCGTTCAGAGGAGCATGTTAAGCCCATAGCCTGCAGCTTCAGCTCCTTGCAGATCTGTCCTGGTCTTTCATCTTCTCTGGTGGCCTCCGCCCATGACAGGAAGGCWGTGGTACAAGGGCCCAGCCTTTTCTGCCCCAGGCTGAGCTTTGGCAGACTGTGAGGTCTGCAGGCAAGTCTGAGGGCTCTCACTTCCCCCCTTGGCTTCCTCTGGTGTGACACCCAGGAAATCTTCTGCACATGGAGTCAGTGTCACTATCTCATTTCCGAGAAGCTGACACGTGACAATATATATTTAAAAAATTCTCTAAGTGTTTTCTTTGTCCTTCTTTCCCATAACTCAAATTGTTTTTCATGACTTCAAAGTGAAGGGAATTATATATCTGTGCTCCCAAACCTCTCACCAAGCTGGACTCTTCATTCTTTAATCTCCTGTCTGCCCATCGCATCAGGATTCGGTTCCTGATTCTCTTTCTTTCTTTATTTTTTATTGGGGGAGGGGCAGGGATTGAACTCAGGGCCACACAATCACTGAGCCATATCCCCAACCCTATTTTGTATTTTATTTAGTGACAGGGTCTCGTTGAGTTGCTCAGGGCCTCCATTTTGCTGAGGCTGGCTTTGAACTCGAGATCCTCCTGTCTGTACAGCCTTCCAAGCCACTGGGATTATAGGTCTTTTTCTTTTCTTTACTAGGATTTGAACTCAGGAGTAGTCTACCTCTGAGCTTCAACTCCAATTCTCTTAAAATTTTTATTCTGAGAGAGAGTCTTGCTAAATTGCAGAGACCGACCTCAAACTTGCTATCCTCCTGTCTCAGCCTCCCCAGTATGTGGGATTCCAGGTGTGTACCACCACTTTCAACTCAACTCCCTTACTATTAAAGTTTGTTCAAGTCTTCCCAAATACATGCACCCTGGGTGCAAAGGCTGCTTCTTAGATATCTGCATGATAAGAGGAACTAACTAATGTAAAGGCCCCAAAGTAGATAGATAGTAAACACATTGATTTAATTGATTTAATAATAAAAGGCTCCTGGGAACCTGTCAGACCACAAACAAAGCCAAGTGGATTAAAACACAACTATAGAAGCAACAGCCAGAGGCAATGAGAAATCAGATGATCCTATGTGGGCCCCAATTTGGCTGTTTTTTATASCATAGTACACTGAGACACAGTTCCACTATCATGAAGTTTCATACTGAGATTTCCCAATTGTCTTTTTGAAGAATTTCTAATTTGGCAACAAGGAGTTTCTTACTGTTGTTATCTTTTTTTTTTTTTTTAAAGGGCTTATTTTCTCTCTGATCAATGGTTCAGTTATTTTATTTTGGGATGATGGGAGGAAAACCTTTTTCTTTTTCTAACTTGAGCCCACTGGGGCCCTGCAAATTAGAATAGTTCACAAGTACTCTCAGAAGCTTCCAGTGAGGGGAAATTCAAGGACTATTCTGAGGTAAAGATTTACATATCTCAATACAACAAAAGCAGGAATGGGGGTTAGGGCTTCAACAGGAGATTGTGGAAAAAAGCCCTCGGGCTATTTATTTATTTATTTATTTATTTATATTTTTAATGTTAATGGAAGGGTGCAGTGTCTCCCAGGCAGCTGAGAACGCAGGAAACTTCTTACTGGGGCGTTAATGGCTGCATTTTCCGGAGGTTCTGCTTCAGTCAGATAAGGGTAGACGTTAAGGCAAGAGTTATTTCTGCATGTTTTATAGCTCAAAGGCTTTCACTTAAAAAATCCATGCCAAGTTTGGGGAGCTGGGTGGTGGGAGGTCACCGATTTTACCTTATGTCTGAGCACGCCCACTTGTGACTTCTTGCTATGGGGGATTAAGCAGCGGTGTGGGGCACTTAGGTTGGCGATTATAGGAAGACCAGAATGGGTCAAAAGTGGTTCTTCACAAAGTCCTCGACACAGAAAGAATGAATGAATGAAAGAAAGAAAAAGTAATAATCGYTGTCTTTTAAGAGGGGTCGGTGGTGTCAGAAAAAGTGTGCACATCAGTCCTAGATCAGGCGCATGGCGATCTGGGCCCCCGGGGCCAGATTTTGGGAACCTCGGTGTCCTCCGGGCTCCACTTGATGGCAGTGCGTATTTCTCAAGTTACTTTCTCAAGTACAAAGTGAGGAAAGTAAATTTTAAATCGTGGAGTGGTAGCGAAGATTCTCTGTCACCGGAGGTACAGCCCAGAAGAAGCGCTCGCTAAGGTCAGCTCTTTCCGGGGATGGGTGGGGCAGAGAACCAGAGGACGCTTCAAGTGGGCCATCGAGACGCGTCATCGCCTTTGGGGCTGGTTTATAAAAGCCCCCACCAGAGCCCCAGACCATTTTTACTTCCTCTTCGTTCCGAGGAGGCCTCGCGGTACCCAGCTGGGGAACGACCCTCGTCGAACCTAGAACCGAGAGGGGACTGCCCTCGCGCTGCTGCGTCGCCAGTAAATCTGCCAGCGCTTGTTGGCTCTTCACTCGATCGCCCGCCGCTGACTTTAAATCTGACCCAGATCTAACCGAACCGAGGACGCCGTCGGTGTGTCCTGGCCTCCYGACCCTAGAGCCCAGCTGGAAACCGAAACCGCGGGACTCGGCGTACGGCACCGCCCGCGGCCGCCCCCGGCACACTTGTAAGTTTCGATTCTCCCCGGAGCCGAGTCCCGCGCAGCGGCCAGGCCAGCGCACCGAGCGAGCAGGCGAGCGCGCCATGGCTGACCCGGAGGTGTGTTGYTTCATCACCAAAATCCTGTGCGCCCACGGGGGCCGCATGTCCCTGGAAGCGCTGCTCGACAAGATCGCGCTCTCSGAGGTGCAGCTCTGCGAGGTGCTGGAGGCGGCCGGGCCCGACCGCTTCGTGGTGTTGGAGACCGGCAGCAGGGTCGGCGTYACCCGGTCGGTGGTGGCCACCACTCGAGCCCGGGTCTGCCGTCGCAAGTACTGCCAGAGAGCCTGCGAAAACCTGCATCTCTGTAAACTCAACCTGCTGGGCCGGTGCCACTATTCGCAGTCGGAGAGGTGAGTGCTCGTGGAGGGAGGGGCGGCTCCCGGTGGCCCTGATCCGCCGGACCGTGGGGACCGCTGCTCCCSGAGAGGCGCGACCTCGACAGGGCCCTGCAACTTTCGGCCTCTTCCTCATCCTCTCACTTCTCTGCTTCTGGTGGAGAGCCCCTGCTGCGCCCGCGATCCCACCCTTGSGGTTCCTTTCCTTCCAGCGCCCCCAGACCGTTCCTTGAACATGGCCAAAGCGATATTGCCCAGTGGGGACGAGGCTCACCCGCTGCCCTGTTTTTGCCCTGAATCCTAACAATACAGACTTTGGATAAGGCAGGCTTGGGAACGTAGGAAAATACCTCCACTTTCTGGCGTCTTTAAACTTTTTTTCTTTTCTGCTTCCCTCCTCTCTGGACAGGTTGTGTCTTCCAGCAGCCCAGCCGCGCTGCGCACCTGGATCGGCTCCTTGGCGGGAGCCGCAGGGCTCTACTCGGTCCTCGATTCCCGGCCCCCTCTATGCCCTCAGTACCGCTTTTCTCCTATCTGGAGCGTGGCCACACCACCTGGCCTGAGTGGTCCCTTTGGAGGTTACCTCGCCCAGCCTCCTTTCCCGCCGTCTGCGCGGTGGCCCACCCTTTCTCAGGATCACTCTCTCAAATAGTTTTGAAATGGTGCGGTTTACTTCTCAAGTTGCTGCTTCTGTTTGTTCTTTTATGCCTTCTAAATATATATATTTATATGCTTATAAATATATAACCTTGGGCTTAACCCATTTAGTTGTCTTCCAAATCTCTCCCTAAGAGAACTCACTCCTATGGGGTCAGCTGTCATATCTATAAAGATGGCTTCCAAATATGTATCCACTGCCCAGACCTGTCTTCTGAATCCAGTTTTTCCATCTCTGCCTCTGAGCAACAGCTGCCCTTGGGCCAAACTCCCTCCAGGCAGGCTCTCTGACTTTCCCCATAACTTTTTTTTTTTAATTTAATTTTTTTTCATAGCTTTATTTTATTCATTTTTTTTTTTTTTTAATGTGGTGCTGAGGATTGAACCCAGGGCCTCACATGTGCTAGGCAAGCGCTCTACACTGAACCACAACCCCAGCCCTAACTTTTTAAAATATATATTTTATTTTAATTGTAGATGGACACAATAACTTTATTTACTTTTATGTGGAGCTGAAGATCGAACCCAGGGTTTCCCATGTGCTAGGCCAGCACTCTACCCCTGAGCCACAACCCAGCCCCCCTTAAGTTCTTAATCCTCTTCCTTCACATACTAGAGCACCAAACCCTTTTTTGTGAAGTCTCTCATTGCCTCTCAGCTCATCTGTCTTTTCCGAAAGAATGCCTTGTTGAATTAATGATGGTTTTTAAGGCCACATTTTTCTCCCAAATTTTTCTGTCCCTAGGTACTTCTACTCAATTATTTTTTCTTTACTTTCTTTCTTTTTTTTTTTTTTTTTTTTCAGGGAGAGCTGGGAATTGAATTCACTGAGCCCCATCCCCAGCACTTTTTTGTATTTTGTTTAGATACAGGGTTTCACTGAGTTGCTTAGAGCCTGGCTAAATTGCCGAGGCTGGTTTTGAACTCTCCATCCTCCTGTCTCAGCCTCACAAACTGCTGGGATTATAGGTATGTGCCACAGTGCCTGGCTCAATTATTTTTTCTTGATAGAGTACTTTCACACTTGGTGTACTTAAAAACGGTAAGTGGTACCTGTCCAAAATGGTGGTCCTTAAACTTTGGTCATGCGTTCACTAGTAAAACATATTCTAGTCATGCACTTCTGTACAAGCACTGGCCACAGGCATGCTCGGCAATGTCTATAGATGTGGACCTTATCAATTGCATGCAGACGTTGCCGAGCATGCCTGTGGCCACTGCTCCTTAAAACCCCTCAAACATGTAACAAAACAGGCAATGGAGGTGTATTTCAAATGGACTAAGTAGATGAGGTAATTTTTTAAAAAAATTTTATTTGTTTATTTCAGCTCACTCTAAATTTTTTAAAAAAGTGCTTGAATATGTGCTCCCTTATTTAAATATTTACTTAGTATGTTGTGAGGCAACAGTTTGAAAGTCTGCTTCTGAGATGTGGGGAATTATTTGTCTAGAGACAGTCATCTGAGTCACCAGCAACAAGAAATCACCCAGGATGAGAGGAGGGGAAGTGGGTAGATGACAGAAAAGGAAGGAACATTCTAGAACCACCCTGAATAACAGGATTGGAAGGCTTTGTGATCTTTTTTTTTTCTGTTCTTATCTGTTCTGTAATGAAAAATTATTTACTAGTTTTTATTGACTTTTTAAGTTTAATTTTTTCTTTGGAGTTTTTCAACATACTCGGAAGTGGAGAGAAGACTGATGAGCCCCATGTATGTTCCTACCTATCATTTTGGATTCAACAAAATGTCTTGTTTCATTTATTCAGTCCTTCACAGTTGTCTTCAATGTGTTGTGTTGAAACAAATTCCTGCAGTTATTTGCTTCATAATGACTTACCTTTAATAGATAAGAAATATATTTTATTAACATAATCACAGCAAGATGATCACATTTTACTAAAAACTATAATTTTATTATCATCTAAAACAAGTTGGTATTCACGTTTCCTTGATTGTTTTATAAACCCAACTTGTATTTCCAGGAAACAAACCTATACATACAAATCCATAATTGTTTTGAGATATTATGTATCTAATATGTTTAGATACTTTGTTTCAATTTGTTGTACACAATATGTTTAGGATTTTTCATTTTATAGATTTTATTTTATCTTTAAAAATTTTTTTCACCAGGTTTGAAATGTCAAAACCATGTTAAACTCCTAAAGTGTGTTGGTAACCTGCACTATTCTGTATTTTAAAACATTATCTAGGGCTGGGGATGTGGCTCAAGTGGTAGCGTGCTTGCCTGGTATGCGTGCGACCCGGGTTCGATCCTCAGCACCACATACCAACAAAGATGTTGTGTCCGCCGAGAACTAAAAAATAAATATATATAAAAAAAAAAAACAAAAAACAAAACCATTATCTATAATTTAGGGACTATTTTGTCTGTACAAATTTTTAGATGGTCCCTCCAAAGAGGGAAAAAACACGATCTGTTTTTTCTTTTTTTAATGGAGTGATAAAAATCTTATTTCTTACATTTGTTGGTTTAACTATATTTAAAATTTCCTTTTATATTGCTGTTGAATTTAGGGATTACACAGAACTTTGTTTTCTAAAAAGTGATACTTGCAAGTTTGAGGATTTTCTTTGTGAATCATTGGCTAATGACTTCTGCTAATCAATCAATACCCATATTGAGGTTACCATTCAGTTCAGTAAACTGCTCTATGTTTACATGGAGATAATTTGCCTTTTGCTGGATAAAACTTCCTCTACAGTACTACTGTTTTAAATAGGATTTCTCCTATTCTGTAGTTTCTCTTTCCTTTTGCATTGCTTTGAGCCATGCATTTTAGTTGATAGCAGGGCTTGATTAAGTGTTGTATAATTATTTGTTCTGGTACATCAGTTTGAATATTTCTATTTGTTTTGCTGAAATATATTCCCATACATGAAGTTCAAATCCCAGTTCTGACACAAACAGTAACTATTATTTATTGAACAAATAATTATGTACCAAGCTCTATGAAAGCCACAGTAGAGACAATATTCAAAATTTTTTATTAACTTAATTTAATTTATTTATTTATATGTGGGACTGAGGATCAAACCCAGCACCTCTCACTTACTAGGGGAGCACTCTACTGCTGAGCCACAACCTCAGCCCCTAGTATTCAAATTTGTCTTTTTAGTAATTCCTAGGGTAGATATTATAAACCCCTCTTTTTTTTATATATTTATTTTTTAGCAGACACAACATCTTTGTTTGTATGTGGTGCTGAGGATCGAACCCCGGCCGCATGCATGCCAGGTGAGCGCGCTACCGCTTGAGCCACATCCCCAGCCCGTAAACCCCTCTTATGAATCTTGGACATAGAGGTCTTTGGAAGAATTAATTATTTGAACCTGATCTGTATGACTTTTTTTTTTTTAATATTTCAGTTATAAGTGGACACAATATCTTTATTTTTATGTGGTGCTGAGGATTGAACCCAGTGTCTCACACATGGTAGGCGAGTGCTCTACCTCTGAGCCACAATCCTAGCCCTCTTTCCATTGTCCAGTTTCTGTATGAAGCATGACCTTTTATTAATTTAAGTTATTATTTGCAAGCATGGCTTCTGTTTAACTGTTTAAACTAGGCTGTCTGAGTCTTCGACTTGCTTTGTGGTTTCTGCCAATGTGGGTGTTTCCTCTGTGCTCTTTCCTGTTTGTATGCCTTTGCCTTTCCCTTTTGGGTGGGGGTGGGTAGATGGGAGAAGGACCCGTTGGCTGTTTCATATTGAAAGAAACATACTGAAATGCACAAAGATGATGACAAGCATCATAGTATACATACTCTGAATATGTAGTAGAAATTATATAAGAGGATATATAAAGGAGAGGGTGCAGGGGGATAGGAAAGATGGTGGAATGAGATGGACAGCATTACCTTAGGTACAAGTATGATTGTATGAAAGGTGTGACTGTTGTGTACCAGACAAATGAAAAGTTGTGCTCCATTTGTGTAAAATGAATCAAAATGCATTCTGCTGTCATCTATAACTAATTAGAAAAAAATTTGAAAAAGGATATATAATCTAATAAGCTTATAACATCTCTCAGAATGAATGTTTACACTTTTAATTTCTTCTATTTTTTTTCTTTTTGGTACTGGGGATTAAACACTGGGACACTTTGCCACTGAGCTACATATCTAGCCCTTTTAATTCATTTTTAACTACTGAATAGCATTTCAACATATGACTTACACTACAGTTCAGTTAACTATTCCCCTGGCAATGGATATTTACAGTTTCTTGCTCCAGCAAACCATACTGCCAGGAATACACATGGGTCTCTAGGTGCTCATGGCAACAGCATCCTTAGAGCAGATCATTAGGAAGTAGAATTGCTGGGTTGAATGAT